TTGGGTGGTTCCTCCAAGAAGGTAGGGATTTTCGGCATTGCAGGTAGGGCTTCCACCGCCTGTTCGTGTGGAAGTTGGCCTTCTAACTCCAGAGATTCTGCAATGTTTGTCCTTGCTAAACAACATTTTTCAAAAGGGTCAGAAGGGTAAGCACCCGCGAACGCGAGTGCCTCTATGAAATCATAAACCTCATCAAAATAATCGACATCATCGTGATGGTGAGACAACTTCATGCTATCATCAATAGAAACGGTAACCTCTTCTTCCCCTGCTCAAAGCACTTACTTTCCCCCATACACATCAATTAAGGCCTTGTTGGTAGCTAGGAAAGGTCTACCAAGGATTAAGGGGACATCAACATTGTCGTCGATGTCTAGAATGACAAAATCGACTGGGTAAATGAGAGGTCCCACGTTGATTAGCAAGTCCTCAACAACACCCTTAGGTCGCACGATAGACCTATCCGCCAACTGAATATTCATCTTGGTAGTTCTAGGTTGACCTAGGTCTAAATTTTGAAACAATTTATAAGGCATCACATTTATACTTGCTCCTAGATCTGCCAAGGATTTTCCTTAGCACATGTTGCCAATAAAACAAGGGATACAGAAACTCTCTGGATCTTTGCACTTTGTGGGCAGGTGGTTATGCAGGATGACTGAGCACTCTTCATTCAAGGTCACTGTATCCATCCCTTCCAGCTTCCTCATGTTGGTGAGGAGGTCCTTCAAGTACTTTGCGTACTTGGGCATCTGGGTGAGATCCTCCACGAAGGGGATGTTGAGGTGCAACTGATTCATCAACTCCGTGAAATGGGCAAATTCTGCCGTCATGCGGTCATTGCGGAGTCGAGAAGGGTAGGGAATAGCTGGAGTTACCTTTTCCCCCTATGCTCCAGTGGAGGAATCGAATCGCCTTTCTCCCCCCCCCCCCTCCTGGGGTTTGCACTCGTGCTTCTTTGTTATTCGGGAACACTACCGGATCCATCTTGCCTTTCTGCCGCGGGTGGCTTCTTCCTCGAAGGTAGCTCATTTTCTTCTCTCCCATTTTGAATAGTAATTGATCTTACTCCCGCTTCTTCAAATTGCTTCTGGGAACGAGCTGCTTGCGAGATAATCCCCACACTTGTGGTCAAGGTTGTTAAGAGTGATTGATGACTTTGCAACCCCGCCCTTATGGTTGAGAATTTATCGGTCGCCTCCCCTATGAATCTCTTGATTTTTTCAAACTTCTTTGAGCTGGAGGCGACAAAGGTGGTCACTGACTCTTCCAAACAAGACATCTGTTCGGTGCCCACAGGGGAGATAGAGTTCAACTGCTCGTAACAGGCCGTTTCCTCGTTCATCACTTGGCACTCAACTTCCTCATAGCCTCAGCTTGCACCCCAATCATATGTCACTAATGGCTCCTTCTCTTGCTTCGAGTGGAGAACTTGCTCCCACACTTCGCACTCCTCGATCGGTGCTTCTCTTCCCACTTCTTGTCAAACCCCAATCATATCCCTTAATAGCCATATCTTCGAGCAACTCGGTCAGTTGAGGAGGGGTCATGTTTATCAAAATCCCATGGCAAAGAGAGTCAATGAGGATCTTCTCATCTGGAATGAGGCCTCCGTAGAAAGTTTCTATCCAAAATTTCTCCTCGAATCCATGGTGAGGGCATTGGAGGAAGTATTCGGAAAATCTTTCCATGGATTCCTCAATGTCTCACCCTCCTCTTGCTCAAAGTGAGTGATCTTCTTTCTCCACTCGGTAGTCTTGGAAGGAGGACAATATCGGGTCATGAACTTGTTGAGTAGGTCATCCCAAGAGGCGATGGATAGAGCCGAACGTTTTGTTGAGCCATCACTGTGCCTTCCCCACCAAAGAATAGGGGAAGAGCTTCAATAGCAATGCCTCCTCGGGGATGCCATTTATCTTTAAGCTTCCCGCTAGCTCAAGAAGCCTTTGGACATGCTCTCGTGGTGATTCATGTGCAAGCCCATGGAAGTAGGAATTTGGTTGAATCATCATCACGAGAGAGGGCTTGATCTCAAAATTCTTTGCGGCCACGGGTGGATGTAAGATGGGAGATTGGATATCTGCCGCCCGTGGAGCCTTGTAATAGCACATAGTCCTTTGTTCTTCCTCGGCTCCCGCTTCTATATTTGGGTTTGAAGCGGATTATCCCCTCGGTGTTGATTTCCGCCATCTCCATTCAACTTCTCCTTCAATTACTTCAATTCCGGGAACAACTTGTTGTGCCCTATCTTCAGTTCTCCTTCTTGCCTCCTCTTGCTCCATCTCTCGAGATAGAAGTCGGAGGGTCCAATCGATGTCCTCGTGCAGTGGTGTTAAAGGCGCCGAATTGCTCCGGGTCATACACCTCCCTACACACACTTAAAGAACACAACACGTCCAGCAGAAGCAAACACTTCACAACTTAATAAAAACAGAAAATAAAAGCTATATTAACACCAAACAAACTTTTAACGATATCGGACCGAAGTCCCCGGCAACGGCGCCATAAACTTGACTCTCTCTGACTATCACAATGAAATCCCACCTAAGGTCTAAGTATAAACCTTAGATGGGTGCAATATAGGGAAAGTATGTTTAAATATCGACCCAGGCCGGTCCATGTCCCGCTACTTCGACAGTTCAAAACATTATCTAGGGGATTGGTTTTGGTGAAAACAAAGGTCTAAAACTAAATTGCATTGTAAAGGTAAAATGGGTTTAACTCTAGTTGAGAAAGCTTCACCCGGGTGTTGCTCCCCCTAGCTAACAATTCTGACTTGAAGAATCGAACGACCGTGTTTGGTTAGGGGGGTCATAAACCGCATTGAGCATAACAAGCAGCCAAAGCTACCCTCTTAGCCCCTAGGTTGAGGAATGGGATACGATCCAAGCCACTAATGTGACCTTCTCAACCTATCAACTAAGGGATGGTTAGACTTCACCCTCGAATTGGAGTTCGGACGGCCACCCACAACCAAACCCTAAGTGCTAATGCGAATTCGGAGGATTGCCCTTTAAATAACCGAGAATAGGAGGGTTCTCTGTAAACTAGCTTAGGAGGCATTGAATGCCCAAGGAAACCCATCTCGAAAATGAGCCTCTTAGGTTAAGGAGGGTTCTCTCTAAACTAGTTTAGGAGGCACTGAATTCCCAAGGAAACCCGGCTTGAATCAAGCCCCTTTGGGTAAAGGAGGTTTCCTCTCTAAACTATCCTAGGAGGCATGAAATGCCCAAGAAAGCCCATCTCAATATTGAGCCTCTTAACCTAAGGAGGTTTCCTCTCTAAACTAGCATAGGAGGCATGAAATGCCCAAGAACACCCATCTAAAATTCAAAATCCTAACCTAAGGAGGTCTCCTCTCTAAGTTAGGCTAGAATGGCAATTAGATTGATAGGCTTGCCCACAACACAATCATTTCTGAATAATGCCTCCACATTCACATTAAAACACAACCACACACAAATCATTCAATTCATACAAGCATTCACATAATTGTAGCTAGGGTTTATAGACACCCAAGAGAAAGAAGGACTACTCCATGCTAGGAGAAGAGAAAACACAAGAGAGGGAAGGGGAAACCATCATGAAGATGCAATATCCTTGCTCCTTGTGCTGAAGAAATCATCATTTGGGGAAGGAATTCCCAAAAGCTTGCTTGGAGATGAAACCCTAACTTTTCCTCTTCTTTGGTTCGTCACTTTATCACTCTAAAATATGAAGAAGGAGAAGTTTCTCACACTAGGTGTCTCTCCCTTTCTTCTTCCTTTCAGCTGGCATTTTAAGTGGAGATCGCGCCCACTTCGCGCCCTGAGTTCACAGCTGTATGCATTGAAACGCGTCTGTGAACTCTGTGCTAAGACCAAAATGTACCGCTTCAATGGCTCAGGTTCACGGTCAGTGGCCTCTGTTCACGGTCTTAGCGATGGTTAACAGCTGGGCGTGAGTAACCTGCGAACCTTCTTTGTTCCCTCCTCGGTTCACAGGTTCTGCCCCCAGTTTACAGTATTGTGAGACCGTGAACTCCAACATCTGGCCGTGAACATTGGCCGTCTCCACCTCTTTGCGCGGTCTTTACTCTTTTTCTTTCAAATTTCGACTACGAGTTTGGTTTTACCTATTAGGATGTGAAACACACTAATAAACAAGCAACCTCGTGTAAAACCAACCTTTTAAGAGTTCAATTGCAACAAACGTCAAAGAGAATCGGGGATAAAAAGTGTACAATTAGGTGCGAATCATAGGGGAAGACCAAGCGAAGTTTGGATGATTGCGCCAACCGCGGTTGTAGGTGTTGTGTTACACCCCTTCTTTTTCTAAGCCGAAATGACAATTATGACCTTGGTCTAAATTTGTCAAATTCCATCGTAATATCAATATCAATGAGGACAAAAAAAATGTGAAATCACGGTTCTAATGGTATCAAATTTCGACATAAAACGAGGAAGTTACGGATGTTAATTGAATTTTGGATTGAACTCCCCCATAATTGTGAAATTCCCAAGATAAGCCTGGGGAAATTAAACCCTAACCTAACCCTATCTTTTACTCGGCCTCACCTAGGTACATATATGTTAAGCCTAAAACTAATAAAACAGGGAATTGCACAGTCCACTACTCGAGGTTCCCATCACCAACGTCTTTCCTCCACTACGCAAGCAGCGCCGCCTCATTGGTTTTTCGATTTTGCAACCAGGAGTGTAATGGTAACCAAACAAAGAAGGTCTTGATCAATTGTTTGTAGCGGCGAGGAAGGTAAGTGAATTTTCGCCCACGTTTATTGCTGATGGAGATGCTATATGTGACCAGGGGAGGGGGGATGCTCTTCGATTTTTGCTAAGCTCCGGATGGAAAAGGAAGCGCCAAGGATGCCTCAGGTGAATCGGTGGATCGCGGTGCTGATCAGAGGAAGGAAAATATCGAGAAGGGGAAACTCCATATGGACCGGACAACTTGGTAAGATTGGAATACAATGATTTTGGATCTTTCTTTTATGCTCACTCATGGTGAACGTTTCTTTGGCATGGGGTATTCATGCATGGGATATGGGACGTATAAGGGAGCATGGAATGGATGGAGCATACGTGGAGGTTATTGAGATGGGCGAGGGAGTTCACCTTGTTGTTGATAAAGAGGAACAAGAGTCATCATCCGTCGTTGTTAAAGGGAACTCAGGGAGCAGAATTCAGGATATAATGGTGGCTTCTATCGATAGCTGATAGCGATTAACTCACGTGGATTCAGAACAGTAAGGTGAGTGTAAAGTGGGTAAATTCTACGCCTGACATATTCTTTCAAGTACTAGAGTTTTCAGTAGTTTTGTGAAGTGTTGCTATGGTTGTTTATGCTCATGATTGATGATATGTGCTTGTTTTAGCAATGGTTTGTAGTGAATGTGTGTTGTTTGCTTTACAGCTTTACGTATATGAGTGATTGTTAAAGTTAAGAACAAGTCCTTTTGTTTTAAGAAGTACCTCACCTTCAAGAAGGTGAAGTCGTTTTAAGTGTTTTTAGTCACTAGCGCCAGTCCGTTGCCATTTTAGATTTTCAAATAGAGCAGCAGTTATGCTCTTGAGATCTTTGAGACAGAGCAGCAGTTATGCTCTTGAGATATTTAAGTTGAGCAGCAGTTACTCTTGAGATTTTTAAGATGAGCAGCAGTTATGCTCTCGGGAATCGTGGAAGAAGAGCCTTCCACGATAAGTTTAAGTTTAAGTTTAAGGAAAGCCTGAATGGCTTCTCATACGTATGAGTTGGCAAGTATTAAAGTCGAGATTTGAGATTTAAGAATGGAGAGTAACAGTAACTCTCATATAGTTTAAGAGTTAATATTTTAAGATTGGAAGTATAAACAACTTCCACCAGTTAAAGCTAAGTGTTTAAGCAAAGTACTCAAGTATAAGAAATTTTCAATGTAAGGGCGTAGACTGACCCCATCTCACTCACCAGGCCTTAGTAAAGAAGTGAACGAGAACCAGATCGATAGTAGCTAGCTAGAGGAGCAGTTAGAGAGCAGCGAGATCGAGAGAGCCGCTGAGGCAAGCCAACTAGAGAAGGATATTACAAGTGTCACTAAAGGTGCTAGAGATCGAATCAGAGCAAACAACAAAGTAGAGTTTTAGTTATTACTTTATGATTATGAGTAGTTACTGGAGATTCAGATTAAGAGTTTTATGTTTGAGGGGTGTCCAAGTGTTAGAGCTTTGTTTTAAGAGATGTCAGATTAAATTTTAATATGATTAAATTTATTTATGAAAGGTTTCCGTTATTTTTTTCTTTCCAAGTCTTTTTTTTAGTTCAAATTTTGATTCATGCTTTATCAAGGGTATTTTGGTAAATGTAGTGTCCGGCCGGACTAGGGTGTTATATTTTGGTATCAGAGTCGGTATTCCTCTGTTCCTTGGTTTCCAAGGAATACTAGAATATCGGTCTCAGTTTTTAAAGGCTTTGCTTTAAAGGAAAGGAAAATGAGTCAAGGGTCTCCTTTTAAGAGTATGTAGAATCTCCCATCTACTCTAATCGTATTGAGATAAATAACTTTAGTCCTAATAAAAGGTGCAACAATCGCAAAGTGATATACCGAGGTATAATTACGAGGATTCGAAGGATTTGAAGGAGCACTACGAGGATCTTTCCTACTTAGCCACTAGAAAATGATCTAATAGGTTAAGATAAACAAACAGGAGAACTATGAATCTCTGATGAAGGAGCTACAGACACTAGATGTCAGTAGCCATAATAATGGGAGGATTTTACGGTCCTTGACCATAGGCAGTGGCGAGGAGGCAACATGTGAAGAAACGAAGTGGTACCAAGAGAAGTCCCTCAACTAGGTTTAGTCGTCGATGGCTCGACGCTATTACAACACAGTGACAATGAGAAGTGGAAAACTTAGACTTTAAGAAAAGCTAGGTGTAGTATAAATTAAGCAAAGGAGGAATGAGTAGGTTACAGGGAGTATGAAAAGTACGCCAAGAAGTCAAAATTTCAAGGTGGATAGGAGGTGTGGTCCTTTATATATGACGATAAAGGAACCCTTGTAGACAAACTACGTCACTAGAGAAGAGGGTACATGACCCTGGGGAGTTAGACTGGTAGCAAGCCTTTAAAAGGAACAAGACAAGCGTAAAGATAATCAAGGTAGAGGATGATGTTGGATCAAGAATAACAATGTGTTAGTGGCTTTAGTGATGTTGTAGAGTGTATGAAGTCATGGAAGGACATGAAAGTTCCTGATAAAGGAGTGGGAATATGTGTAAGTGACTCGGGTTCAAGGAGTGTGCATGGAGGAAAACAGTAGGAAAGGTCAAAGCAGGAATACATAAGACAACAAGGAAGCATTATGTTGACTACGAGTAGGGAATAATTGGTCCATAGGAAGTCCATCGATAAATTTCAGTCAATTTTTAAGGTGGAATCGTGGTCGTCACGAATAGTCGAAGGGAGAACCTTAGTGGCCAAGGTACATAAGTGAGAAAAAAGGAACATAGAGGGCTACATTAGGAACAAGGGGCAACTAGAACTAGCGAGGAACCTCAAGAAGAAGAGTCGCGTGTAAAGAAGCAGTAGGGATATGAGTTTAGGTAATATGTCGGGGTACCCCAGAGTGAAAACAAGATCGCCTATGCGGGCCAAAGGTAGCAATCCCTCGGGTGAAAATTTCTTGGACGGGGTAACTGTACGAGGAATTTCAGCTAGGGTCCAAGAGTAGCAGAATGGATAGTACGAGAACTTCAAATTCAGGTGGCGATAAGGAAGTGCTAAGTTAGGCAACAAGAGTGAACAAGTAAGCGAAAGGGAATGTCATGACTCTTGAAGGAAGTCATAAAGTTGCTAGCAAGCTAGAGAAAGATGCAAAGGTTTCCTTTAATGCATATAGAAAGTAAAAGCATTAGTATAAGGTTTCGGAGTTAAGCAAGAAGTAACGAGGAGATGACCACTCAGTTTATGGTTAAAGGATAAGACGAAGCATCACGGAAGAAAGTAAGAGATGCAGAGTTAGGAGGTACGAATCCTCGTAGTAAGAAGGATTACCGCAAGCAAGACTTGGGGTAGACATAATGGACAAATTTCGAGGGCGAAATATTCTTGAGGAGGGAAATGTTACATCCCAACTGAGATAGTTTGATCAAAGACAATTTGTCTGAGAATTGTCTCAGAACAAATTTCGGGGATGAAATCTGTCGAATGGGGGGAGAAATGTTACACCCCATGTTTTTCTAAGCCGAAATGACCATCATGCCCTTGGTCTAAATTTGTCAAATTCCATCGTAATATCAATGAGGACAAAAAAATGTGAACTCTCTCTTCTAATGGTATCGAATTTCGACATAAAACGAGGAAGTTACGAATGTTAATTGAGTTTTGGATTAAACTCCCAAGATAATCCTGATGAAATTAAACCCTAACCTAACCCTACCTTTCACTCGGCCTCACCTAGGTATATATATGTTAAGCCTAAGACTAATAAAACAGAGAATTGCACCGTCCACTACTCCAGGTCCCCATCACCACCGTCTCCGTCGTCTTTCCCCCCACTACGCAAGCAGCGCCGCCTCATTGGTTTGTCGACTTCGCAACCAGGAGTGTAATGGTAACCAAACAAAGAAGGTCTTGATCAATTGTCCGTAGCGGCGAGGAAGGTATGCAAATTGTCCCCAACGTTTATTGCTGGTGGAGATGTTATATGTGACCAGGGGAGGGCGGGATGCTCTTCGATTTTTGCTAGGCTCCGGATGGAAAAGGAAGCGTCGAGGATGCCTCAGGTGAATTGGTGGATCGCATTGCTTATTAGAGGAAGGAAAATATCGAGAAGGGGAAACTCCATATGGACCAAATAACTTGTTAAAATTAGGATACAATGATTTTGGAGCTTTCTTATATGTTCACTCATGGTGAACGTTGCTTTGGTATGGGGTATTCATGCATGGGATATGGGACGTGTAAGGGAGCATGGAATGGATGGAGCATACGTGGAGGTTATTCAGATGGGTGAGGGAGTTCCGCTTGTTGTTGATAAAGAGGAACAAGAGTCATCATCCGTCGTTGTTAATTGGATCTCAGGGAGCAGAATTCAAGATATAATGAGCGATTAACTCACGTGGATTAGGAACAATAAGGTGAGTGTAAAGAAAGTAAATTCTACGCCTTAGATATTCTTTCAAGTATCAGAGTTTTCAATATTTTTGTGAAGTGTTGCTATGGTTGTTTATGCTCGTGATTGATGATATGTGTTTGTTTGAGCTGTGGTTTGTAGTGATTGTGTGTTGTTTGCTTTAAAGCTTTACGTTTATGAGTGATTGTTAAATTTAATAACATGTCCTTTTGTTTTAAGAAGTAATTCACCTTCAAGAAGGTGAAGTTGTTTTTAGTGTTTTTAGTCACTAGCGCCATTCCGTTGCCATTTGAGATTTTCAGATAGAGCAGCAGTTATGCTCTTGAGATATTTGAGACAGAGTAGCAGTTGTGCTCTTGAGGCATAGAAGTTTAAGGATGGTTTCTCATGTGTATAAGTTTAAGGAAAGCTAAGTGTTTAAGCAAAGTACTAAAGTATAAGAAATTTTGAACGTGAACCAGATCAATAGCAGCTAGCTAGGGGAGAAGTTAGAGAGTAGTGAGATCGAGAGAGCCGCTGAGGCAAGCCAGCTAGAGGAGGATAGTACAAGTGTCTTTGAAGGTGCCAGAGATCGAATTAGAGCAAACAACAAAGTAGAGTTTTAATTTATCACTTTAAGATTATGAGTAGTAACTGGAGATTCAGATTAAGAGTTTTATGTTTGAGGTTTGTCCAAGTGTTAGAGCTTTGTTTTAAGAGATTTCAGTTTAAATTTTAATATGATTAAATTTATTTATGAAAGGTTTCCGTTATTTTTTTCTTTCCAAGTCTTTTTTTTAGTTCAAATTTTGATTCACGCTTTATCAATGGTATTTTGGTAAAACTAGTGTCCAGCCGGACTAGGGTGTTGCATGTTGCTATATGGGTTGTTCCCTCCAGCATTCGCAATGAAGCTCACTCTCTCCTCGGGAGTACTTGTATCCTTTATCACTTGCAATCCGCAATTTCGTGATTGGTGCTCGAACACCAATCATAAGACATCACCGCTCTCTTCCCTTGCTACTTGTCCTCAAGCATCACCTCTATCAACTTGTCCAGCTTTGCTTCATGTGGAGCACTTGGTCCCACACTTTGCACTCCTCTATTGGTCCTTCTCTTCCCACT